TATTATTATTATTATTATTATTATTATTATTATTATTTTTATTTTTATTATTTTTATTAATATTATTATTATTATTATTATTATTATTATTATTATTATTATTATTATTATTATTATTATTATTATTATTATTATTATTATTATTATTATTATTATTAATATTATTATTATTATTATTATTATTATTATTATTATTGTTATTATTATTATTATTATTATTATTACTATTTTTTTCATTTCCAGCTTCCATCACAATAGGAAGAATTACGCCAAACCCGTTGATTGTTATTGCTGTAATTGTTGCTAATTTTATTTATAACCTTGATCGTTATTAAAAAAATAAACATTAAGTAATTGCTCAATCACAGCAACTAATTCCCTTTAATTTTTTTTGTATCCAAAATTTCAGCTCAGAACTAGTTGTCATACATTTTTTGTGAGCAAACAACTTAGATTAGTTGTCACTATTATTTTACAATAGCTTTCAGCAATTTTTAGGAGGAATGACCGGTTGTTACCACTTTTATTCATGTTCTATGGTTTTTTCCTTAAAATTGACAATTTGCATTGATATAGAAAAACTCTTTTTCCTTGATATCTCCTAACTACATCCATGGTTCTTATTTCGCCTGACACACAAACTCCGTATCTCGTGCACCAAAGATATTATAAATCATCGGGAACCACGTGTTCGTGATAAAAGTAATTAGCTCACTACTTCAAACTATTTGTTGAGCCCATACATCGGTTCGTCGTCCGCTAGAGAAGGCTCATAAATAACATTCTTATTTATTTATTTCTTTTTTGTTTATCATCACATTCCAGGTAAATTACTGAAATGATTAGTTGCAAGAAGCGACTTTTCCACTACTCCTTTCAGTGAAAGTTTACAAGCTGGAATTCAAGGGCCACTTCTGCTAGTAACTAAATTGCTTTCACATAGGTTACCATGTTCCGACTATAAGAGCTATTTCAAAGCAAAATATTGACCCTCGGTCGGATGCAAACAAGAAGAGGGCTACATCGAACATTAATAACTATTAAATCGATATCGGGTATCTGTTCGTCTAGTTCTAGTTGCTTTAACAGCTCCTATTTGGGTTTTATTGTGCTTTTAGACTCCGGATAATGAAAGTTTCGACTGGACTTGCAGGGATGTACATTGGGATTAATTATGATTTGTCATTTAGCTTTCAGGATAAACTCCAATGCGCATCCCTATCAAAGGAGCAGAGGATATAGCTTCCGGTAGGAGATAGACCACCATCCTTTTCCGAGCTCATGTCGCAAAGAAACATACCAAAGATTAGGACAACGTAATCAGGAAATTTCTTGCCCTCTTTTGCTCGCCCTAAATAGGAAACACCCACTTTTACTCGTTGGAGTGTCATATAGTCGACTCTCTGCCATTAGTTCTAGTGTTGATCCTGTCGGCTTGTTATAATAGTGTCCTCTTCTCTGCTACTGGTGCTATTACTGCTGGCGTTGATGGGCATCAACACTTTCGATGTTATGCTGGTGTGGTCTACGTAGCCAAAAATTTGCGAGAACGATACAGTCTTCCATTATGCTTAGTTATAGTGCTACCACCGGGTTGGAGATAAGACAAAAAGGAAATTAAGCCATTAAATTGTATAGCCTATACACCACCACGTCCACCACCAGCAGTGGGAAGAAGCCTCATTCGTGCCTTGGTTAGACGAGAAATGAAACCCAAAATTTACATCCACTGCTGCTGGACGAAACCAGAACCGGTGTCAATAGAGTGCCCGGTATAATCTGCTCTAAATCTGGGAAAAGTTCTTCCGTCGTAAAGTGGTACCGAACCGTGCAATGAAATTTGAAAAAGAAAAAATGTGTCCATATCACACACACACACACAGACACACATCTAAAAAGTGCAAAATTTTTACGCCAAGGAAAATCTCCTTACGTTACGAATTTTCCAAACCCACATTTACCGGAACGAACCATGACGTGAAATTCAAAATTGTGGGTTTTGCTTAACCGGCAAGGCCGGCCACTTTGTTTAATATTTGAACGAGAGAAAATTTAACAACCATATGCGGAGGTAGACAGGCGTAGAGATTCTTTGACCACTTTTACAAGCTTTCGAACCATGTGGTTCAAAACGAGACAGTCACACAGGCATGTGAAGAAGAATGAACGTCTGTAGTAAATGTTTGAACTGCCACTGGCCAATATTGTCTCGTTCGTTGATATGGTACCAAGTGGGCATGGCAGTCTGAGACGAAGATATAAAAAAACTGAAACACATTCTATGGCTAAAAGTAAACGACGATTGCTATTTTATGACCTACGGCAGAAATGTAGTATCCAGACTTGCACCACATTTTCTGAAGCTAGTCAGGAAAAAGACGAAACGAAAGCTAATATTTGCTGGAAATTGATGTGGGTGTGATGGAATTAAAATAAAGTTAAACTTTCGTCCCCAAAGGGGATGATTTATTTTTCCGAGGATGAACGATTGCTCCCAAACACATAAGGGCTGTTATGGGCAGAAGTCACTTGCACTGAGGACACATGAGCTTGCTACTTTGGATGATGGATTGAGTGATCATTTTTGTAGCATTATTGGATATTCATGATGACACTCGTCGTTTGCTACTGTTTGCCGACTTACCCTTTTTATTGCGTGGTCTTTATCGAATTACAGTCACTCTAAAAAATCTCCCAAATTTCGTAACATGAAACATTATTTTTAAACATTTCCATTTATGCATCCTCGTATACATAGATGAATTTATCCAACTCAAAGTGTATATAGCCCTAAGGTTTTGACACATTTGGTACGTAAGCTGAAAATCAGTTAAATTTTAGATCTTTTCTTTCAGCAGGAAAACTTTACAAAGTTTCAAGCTTTTCTCATATCCGGAATTTTTAATATCACGACTTTCTAAGACATACAAATATGACCATATTTGTCTTTCTTATGGATTCATGAATTAAAAACTAGGATTTACGTTTGCCGTAACACGTCACGTTTTCTTTGGTACCGTTCTCTTTATGAGGTTGTACCACCCTTCACGCGTGTATGAGTTGTGAAACGAGATAGCGTTTTCAAAGAAAAATGTTCCTTGAGTAAATTTCTACAAATAGTCGTTGCACAACAATATTGCCACATGTTTAGGTTGGTAGTAAATAGTGTACAGGGTGGCCAGACCTACCGATTAGTGTTAGTGCACCCCACACGCAGCAATATATATAAGGATATGAAGGGGAATTATCGTCAATAATATAAATGGTGAAAAAATATTGTCAAAACCAATGGATTGATGTGATTGACGGAGGTTTGACAGTAAAATTATTGTCAGAAATATTGATATGTATAGGGTCTGCGTAAATAAAGGGGGCGGTACCTTAAAAACTTTACTCTTTTGAGTAAAAATCTAGATTGTCAAATATACTTATGCCGTAAAAGTATATTTTAGAATCTAGATTTTCACTCAAAAGATCACAATAAACTCAATTATGGGAAAACATTTTGGTCCTATATATAAAAAATTCAGTATATTTCATGCGTATCCATTGATTTATAGCGATTGTAACATGGTCACGACGCACAGTGGGCACCGTCCATACAAATCTCGGACAAAAATCCAAAAGTTGTCTGAATTTGATGGAAATTTCATATTGTAGTGATTTTTGGATGCTGCGTCCGTTTTTGAAGTTTTTACTTTAAGTGGCGATCCATAGAGTACGTCACGCTATATTGAGGGAAAATCAGCCCTCCTCTCTCTTCTTTCAATGCATTTTGCCTAGACTTAATACATTGTTTGTCAAAGATTCTTCATGTCCCCTTCCCCTCTTAGGGCGTGACGTACTTTATGGACGCCCCCTCATCACCTTACTTGAAACCACTTGAAAAACGGTTTTTTTACCCGAGACGCGCATCTCAATGCTCCACGACAAAATACGATTATGTTTTCTCTTGGTAGGGTAGAGAACTACTTCGGCCTAATCGCACATTTTGGGCCTATCGAGCGGAAACAAATAAATCCATGATTTCTGAGTTAACAAGTCAATTATGCGTTTGGTACGATACTTTAGTTAATAAACTACCCTATTTACCGACAGAGATAGAATTCACTGCGGTACCAAGAACCAAAAATGGAGGGGTGCAGAGACTCGTTCGCGGAACCACTGAAATAGAGAATCTCTTTCCAATAGACAAATCTCTCCACACCACACGCCAGATCGCATTATTACCACCTCCGACGATTATCGTAACAATAAGGGGAAATGGATGTAATGCCCCTAATTTGGGCCCATACATCTTCTTCTTATTCTTCATCACATTTCAAGCTTATTGCATATCGCATATTAGCTTATTGCGTGCTCTCAACTTAGTGTTCTAGATGCACTTCCACAGTTATTAATTGAGAGCTTTCGATGCCTGTACCATTTTTGCATTGGTATAATTGTGTGGCAAGTTCAATCATACTTCTATGCCCAAGGAAGTCGAGAAATTTTCCAACCTGAAAAATTCCTAGACCGGACCGGGAATTGGACCCAGCCACCTCCAGCATGGTCTTGCTTTGTAGCTGCGCCTTTACCGACTGAGCTAAGGGAGGCCCCGGGGCCCATACATAAATTTAGCAATCGACTAAATTTTCAATAGCGACCAAAAATATCCATTAGTATCATCCCTATGACGCGTTCATCTAGATAAAATTGATAAACAGCAGATTTTTAGCTATGGGCCCAATCTTAAATCCATAGGCCAACATTAGAGCCATTTCCCCTATATAAGGAAATATTATTATTAAAAGAATAAATTGGACTCACCAAATCGATCAATGTACGGTGTCTTGTTGCAGAGATCTCCATACTTAATGGTTGGTTGACTGGGCATGAAAATAGGTTTGCCTATTCTTAGTGTCGGTGATTCCGTCCAAGGATGAATACAAGCGATCACTTAATAGACCAGATGATGCCAGCAAAAATGGTCAACGAAGATGACTTAAGGTTGAATGGATTCAGGCTGCTAATCGGAGAATGTGACCCATACAAAGAGCCGGTAAGAACAACCAATAAGGCCGGTTGTTGGTGCTAGGTCCCGAGAGGCCAACCGAACCGACCGGTGATAATGATCGGCGGTTGAAAAGCTCCCGCGTGGCAAATAGAGCAAACGAAGCCTGGTTGAAGGAACACTAATTAAAACTTTACAAAACTCGACAACGGACCAAAAAATTGACGGCATAAAATTTTCCATGTCTCTCTTCGAGCACAGCACACTGCGATCCTCTATATTCTAGTCGCATAGGAGTATTGATATGATATGATATGATATGATATGGAACTACCAGTCACTGTAGCAAAACAACTGTCGATAGACTATGGGCTATCCTCGCTGTTCGACAGGTTCAAGTTTAATAACCTCTAATTGTACTCAACCTGCCATTGTATGAAGGGCCAAAAACGCTCTGAGTGAATCCATGGGCGACATCGCCCACGTGCATCCCGGGATAAATGAGAATCTCCTTCCAGCAACAGAATCATGCAACCTGTCAAAAAAAACAGGCCAGCCAACAGGAGGATGCCCTAATGAGTGGGAAGAAGAGCCCGCCCTCTATTCACGAAATGTTAAAGACAGGGAGTTGGCATTTCCACTCCCTCCATTCGTTTTGCTTCTGCATGTAATAATGGAATGAACGTAAAGAGAAAAATAAAGGAAATATCTCACCCGATATGCTGCAAAGAAATCCATGAAATCACGATGATTTCGAAGATCTCCCATAGACATTCTTCAACCGGTGTTAAAACAGCTATATAGCTTTTCGTTCCTCAGACAGCAGCGAAAATCCCATCAACCATGAAACACACTCTAGCTGCACCAATTAGAGGGACCTCAGAAGAGAAAAAAGGACTGCATCCACTTTCCATCGCCAATCACTCGTGACACAATGGCTTCAGTTCGCCAGTACACAGTCTGTAAGACGCAGCGCCAGCTCCTTACAGGCCGAATCAACTCGCGACCAGTGCCGAAATTAGAACCAACTCCAGCGACCGAAAACAAACGTGTCTAAAAGCGGCCACAGCACACTTCGATGGCATTTCAGAAACACAACCTCAACGCACAAACACGACGACGACAACATTCGACAAACACCTTTCGTCTGGGAGGCATAACGCCAGCACACAGCAAACAAGGGAAGAAAAATGCACATATGTACAGAGCATTAGCTGAACTGCTAACGTTGAAAGCTAAACGTGAACCTTCTAATCGCATTGGCGTTTTGAGCGAAAACCCAAAACTTGATAAGTTCCAAAACATATAACACAAAAAAGAAAAAAAAAGGAAGAGGTTGTATCCAAGACACGACCGTAGATTTGACGTAGGATTACGAATGGTAGTTTTGATGTCACAGCAAAAGTATATTATATATTAAATTTATTTCTTAACTCGTTATCAGAGAAAAGGTTCGATAAGTTGAAATTCGGAAGCAATTTGAGAGTTCTGTTTGTGAGGTGCTTTGTCGATGTCCATTTAGTACAAGCCAATCCTGGACGGTATATCTTGGATACAAGCTCTTACTCTTTAGTTAACTCTATCAGTCATTTGTGGTCCTGAAAAGGACCGATGGGTTGAAAGCTTGGAAGCCAGTTTTTTTTTTCCTCTGTTCGGGACATAACACCACTGCGACCAGTAATTTGATATATTGTAGTATATCCCGTGTCCTTATTTTAGTGCATGTTGTCACTATCATCACTATTGAGAAATGAAAAGTATTCGACTTTTTTACAGTTGTCATTCTTGCATTTATCGCAAGCATCCAACTATTATTGAAAGGTTCCGCTATTTATACCCTTTGCCCCTTTGTCAGTCAAAATTGGATTCCTTAGCAACAAAATTAAGGAATGAAACCGATAATGACCATGCATCAGAACCCTAGTCTTAACCACTTTAAACTAGGGAACAACTAATAGAAGATTAGGAATCACATAGATGAAGACTCATTTTTTCCTTGTTTCAAAATCATTCTCAGTGGACAAAGCCTAGTCTTGTCACTATCAACAAGGCATAAAAAGTAACAAGGACTAAGATATGGTTTTTCGAAATTTCACCCCCTAGAAGAAATACGTAATCCTTCGTCAAAACCCATCGCTGATTTGTTTATATGTATGGGTAAAAAATCCTAAATTTTAATGGAAAAATATAAAATTATTTTGCACCCTTTGTATACAAACCATGAAAACCAGAAAAAAAATACAATCAATGTTTTTCAAGACCAAATCACATTTTTTTAATATCATTGCATTTTTCCTAAAAATTATTTTTAATTACCTTTTATTTGATATTTTATTTGAATTCGGCCCAGTGATTCAAAAGTTATACAAACATACATGTTTAAAATAAGGGGAAGCACGGCAAAATCGGCCATAACTTCATTCACAGAGCCATGCGGTCGATCGTCCACCCATTAAGTCAAGATATCCATGAATAATTCAATAAAATAGGGGGAATTGGGGTTAAGTCGGTCTTTTATCCCTACTAGGAGCTTCGTGAGATGAACGAGACCGCTTCCATTCGATTTTCTAGGAAATTTAACATCAGAATAAGCCTATTGTGCACATTTTGTGAAATATTGAACTTATTCGCGCTTTATATACTTTTTCCCACTCTGCAGCGGTTCAAAAGTTATGATTTTTTTTTAAAGTCATTTTTGAAAAAAAATCGTATTTTGGACCACCCTAACATGGAAATGGTCGGCCTAATGATAAAAAATGTAGTAATATTTTGCGAAAAGGAACAGAACTAGCAATTTATACGAAATTTTGAGAACCACTATATCGTTTTGCTATGGAATGGCTCCTTTAAAAAGGTTACAGTCTTTGGTGAAATTGGACAGTAAGTCAAGGCAGATTGGTTTGAGAACAGTAGTACAGCATTTTTCTACTATGCGGCGCTTATGTACAAGTAAATTCCCTGTATAGAATATATCTTGAGATCTATACTATTAAGTTAGTTTCCGTCTTCGGAAAAGTTGTTCAGGTAAACCAATGTCTTCTAATTGATGGGCCCACTACGCGACACAAGTCTGCGAGTGCACTTCACGTAGATGTCCTGACTTCGTAGATGGTGAGTATTTCAAGATATACCCGAGCAAAGCTGAAGATCAAATTGAAATCAAAATTTGCTGTTATGATGTAACTTATTTTGAATACTCTAGTTGATCTCATTTTGGTTGACTTAACGGTTAACACAGCAAAAATGAGAGCAAAATTTTACACTGTTGAAGCAAACGGAAAACTAATCCTGCTTTCAATGAAATCAATTTGATTACTCATTTTGCATTCATAATGTTTAACTGAATACGGGCCTGGCATAAATGGTTAGCATCCATGCTTCTCACGCTGAAAGACTTAAAAGTTGAATAAGTCAAATCTCTCCCCGGGCAAGTCAGGAATGATCTAAAATGTGTTAAACAAAACAAATAAACAAGAATCATTAGTTCAACAACAGATGAACTTAAATTAAATTTTAAACAAGACGTTAAGAGTAGAACTAAGTTGCTTTCATTTAAAAAGTTTTGACTGCATAATGAAATCACAATATGATATCAGACTTATGTTGCGACAATTGAAATCAAAATGAGTTTTCATTATGATAGAAACTGCAAACTTTAATATCGATTTGCTTTCATTTTGTTAACCGACTTTGCTCGGGTAGCTTCACATTTCAAACCTCCCTCTCCCTTTTCCCATCCAAAAAAATTGTAAATCACTACTAACCTCGAGACAACCGCGAGTATCCGGTCCAGCTCCTTTAACTTATATATCAGCAATTCCATAGAAAAAAGTTATAGTGGGTCTCAGAATTTCATGAAAATTGGTATAGTTCTTCCTTATCAAAAAATATTAGACTCGTATTTTTTTATTGCGCCATTAGGGTGACCATTTCCGTGTTAGGGTGGTCCAAAAAATCATTTTTTTTTCAAAAATGTCTTTTTTCAAAAATGTATAACTTCTGAACCTCTTGACCGATTTTTACGATTGACCCTTCAAATGAAAGATGTTTTAATGTAGTTTTAAGAAAAATTATGAAACACTCAGAGATATTTGATTTAGTAGGAAAAAAATATGTTACAAATGCTTTTTCTTGATTTTCACTGCGAGGGTCTTCAACAACTTCTTATTTTAGTATTTTTAATTGAAAGATCATTTAATTTTACATAACATAGCAAAAAATTAGCGATGTCGGAGAAGCAGTTTTGGAGATACAATTTTTTTTAAATAAAAAATTATTGTTCCACATTATATGCACCACACGTGCATGGAAACGATGAAGACGCAAGGTAGTTCACAATGCGTCTCCATCGAGTCACAGCAGCTGTGACTAATGAAATCTATGAGTAACTTACAAGCTGGGTGCAACATTCAGTTCAGCCTGGAGGCTGTCCATAAACCACGTAGACCAATTTTTAAACATTGCAGATCCTACCTCCCCCCTCGTATACTTTACTAAAATTTTAAAATATTTTTACCGAGCGTATACTGTGGCTGGACTCCCCTCCCCCATTGAAGTCTTCGTGGCTTTAAAACAGGCCCCAGTTTGACATTATTAATTTTGGTATCAAAATTCTGGGAGAAGTACTTAAATGCTACAAATAATGGCGAGGTCGAAGAAAAATAAGTAAAACATGAAGCATTTATTTTCTTTAATTACAATTTCACACATTTTTCTTCCGTTGAAAATGAATACCGTTTGACAATAATATACTTTTCGTATTGAGGCTTAAAACTATGGAATGACTGTGTCCCCGAAATTTGGTTCACATGTATATAACAGTTTTTCAATTTTCTTTCCATTTTATTGTAATCGGATTCCGAAAAAAAACTGATATTGTATTTTTGAATCTGGCTTAGAAATAGCCCATGAGTAAAGTTCTTGGGCCATTGTTATATGGTGGCCTTGCAAACTCGCTTTCGCAGCGTTTCGTTTTAATACTCCTCCCAAAGCATCACAAGGGACCTTTCCATGACAAGTTGCGAAAAAATTCCACTCGGCAGCAATGCCAAAATCTTTTTGCATGTTGCATAAATTAAAAGCGGTCATCTTATTTTTATATTGGCTTCCTGATCCATCTGAGAAAAAGTAAATCTGTTGTAAGCTTGGCAATTTACATTTTATGAACGCTAGACAATGCGTAAGAAATAAACGAACTGCGACATGATTATGTTTAGTGAAATCAGCAATTGCAATAAAACTAGTAAATTTCAAATCGTTAGATTCTTCGTCTTTAAAATAAATAGCACAAGGGTGAATAGTACATTGGGCGTTCGCCCAATGAAAGCCTTGAACTGCATCCTGCACAACGAAAGAATAATTCTCCGAAAAATCACAGATTATGATGCATTCTGTAGCTTTCAAATTGCTTTTGACGTGTTTCATGTAATTTGCCTGTTGCTCAGCTATAAAGCTATGCGGCAATAAATTGAATAATTTTTCTAAAAAAGTATCAATAAATTCCTGTGTGTCCCTTTCAACTAAGTTCATAATGCATCTCTCTACTTGACGCCATTGTTTGAATTGTATTGATTCAACATGTCCGTTACTAAGAATAGTCATTAGTTCTGTGGCCAAAATTTGCGTTCCTGAACAATTTTTGCAACACTGCAGCCAGCATTGTTCACTTGGATTTTGACAAATTATTTTTTTAAACAAATCGTGATAGGAATCAACACCATCTGGGAGTGATTGTCTGCTTTGTAGTGTTTTAAAAATAAGTTTAACGTTCTGATGATATATACAAACGCATACGGTATGCGTGCCACTTGTCCCTGCCAAAATGCAGTGTTTCGGACGGTTACTGGCGAACATGGAAAATCCTATTTTAATATCAGGATATGTATTTTTAAAGATGGAGTACGCCTCTTGCAAGTTACACAAAACTAATCTTCTTTGTACGTAGATTTCGCCTTCATCATTTTTAGATATTAAATAATCTCTTTTCCCCGGACAAACACGACTTATATCGTCACTTTTGTAAAAATCACGAACAAGCATTATCGTTGGTTCTCCTAATGAAGCTCTGCTTAACCTCTTTACAGGCACCGACATTATTCCTTTCTCTTGCTGCAGTGCTTTTGCTTGGTTGGCCATATGTTGGGAAACATTGAACTCCTTCATAATTCTATATGTAGACCAACTTTTGGGAAGTGTGGTTAAAATCCTGTATCGCTCATTGCTGTCTCTTGTTTCTTTATATTTATCCTTAAGTTGTATAAGGAATTCATTTTCGTCCGACAAAGGTGCGTTGTAGGTTGTAACGATCGATTCAGAACTGGTTGTTTCCACTGATTCTGAAAATAAATATAAAAAATGATTGATTATTAGAAAAAAAACATACAAATGATTTATTTTTTTATTATTTACCTTGGCAGGGAAAAGGAACCATTCTGGAGGGTCCCGCAACGGAAATTGATTCAATGCTGGTTGCTTCGATGGACTCTGAAAAATGATTGCAAAAAAGAAGAGTTTATGTTAGTAGTTAGAAGAAAAGAATTGAAATTTAAAGAAGAATCACATGAATTTTCAAATAACGTACCTGCAGCAGCGATTCTGGATGGTCCTGCAACGGCTTCTTCGGTCACGGCATCATTGGGTTCATATAGTTTGTGGTAGCATCGTTGACAAATGAAGGAGCTACTCTCATCTATTTTAATCTTTTTTTCCACTGCATAATCGTACAATTTATTGGTGATTTTTCTGGCACATGAACTCAACATCCAAACATCACACATTGAACACTTACGTTTCATTTTTAGATATTCTTCAATTCAACTGTTCTAGTAGGAAACTTTGATTTCTAACTGATCATTTCTTTCATAACATTCGTTGTTTTATGTGAAGCATTATATCGTACCTACGAGTGAGTGATATACCTACGAGTCTAAGCTGTAACTCATAGGTATATCACCTGTTCGTAAGCAATGACGTCACTTCAAACAGCTGTTTCAGGTAAATAGATGAATATTGCGAATAAATACAAACACCACCAAACATTTCCAAATGTCACTAACACCGCGAAGCCTATTGGGCTGGAGCTTATGTAAAAGTCATTGCCTACGAACGAGTGATATACCTATGAGGTACAGCTTGGACTCTTAGGTACTGATGCAACATGCAAAAAAATTTTGGCATTGCTGCCGTGTGGCATTTTTTCGCAACTTGTCATGGAAAAGGCCCTATGGGAGGAGTATTGAAACGAAACGCTTTAAAATTTGAGTATACGAAGGGAAAGGTAGGATCTGCAATGTTTAAAACTTGGTCTACGTGGTTTATGGACGGCCCGCAGGTTGAACTGAATGTTGCACCCAGCTTGTAAGTTACTCATAGATTTCATTAGTCACAGCTGCTGTGACTCGATGGAGACGCATTGTGAACTACCTTGCGTCTTCATCGTTTCCATGCACGTGTGGTGCATATATTGCGGAACAATAATTTTTTATTTTAAAAAAATTGTATCTCCAAAACTGCTTCTTCGACATCGCTAATTTTTTGCTATGTTATGTAAAATTAAATGATCTTTCAATTAAAAATACTAAAATAAGAAGTTGTTGAAGACCCTCGCAGTGATAATCAAGAAAAAGCATTTGTAACATATTTTTTTCCTACAAAATCAAATATCTCTGAGTGTTTCATAATTTTTCTTAAAACTACATTAAAACATCTTTCATTTGAAAGGTCAATCGTAAAAATCGGTCAAGAGGTTCAGACGTTATACATTTTTGAAAAAAGACATTTTTGAAAAAAAATGATTTTTTGGACCACCCTAACACGGAAATGGTCACCCTAATGGCGCAATAAAAAAATACGAGTCTAATATTTTTTGATAAGGAAGAACTATACCAATTTTCATGAAATTCTGAGACCCACTATAACTTTTTTCTATGGAATTGCTGATATAAGACATCAATAATGTATATTAATTTTTCTTTTTCTTCTTCTTTTTTGTATACACATCAATTCTTATTGAGTTTAATGATGTTTGTGACTTTGTGAGGTTAACAGCACCACCTAGCGACAAAACTTTGGACATGATATTTTTGTATACATTTTAAATTTCAACTCTGAAAAATAGCTTTATATGAATTTTTTAATTTTGTCGAACCTTTTAACGGAACCTTACGTAGAGCTTTTTGAGTGTGTTGATTTATTTCCTTTTAATTCCGTTAAAATTGCTTATCTTTTGACAGATACGTGTATTTCGTGTACTACTTGCAGACTTCATCAGTGCCAAGTGGTGTTCAGTACTTGGCACTGATGAAGTCTGCAAATAGTAGACGAGATACGCATATCTGTCAAAAGATAAGCAATTCTAACGGAATTAAAAGGAAATAAATCAATGTAATGTTGACTGATTTGGCTGAAATTTTGAACAAAGCCTCAGAATTGCATAGAGAACAAGTGGTACTATGGCGAGGGGGATGGTAATTTTTTGGTCATCCTAATAGCGTCTAAAGTTGAAAAAATACGATTTGTTTGTATAAAAATCATATTTAATTAGAAAAATTTCACTGACTTGTTGCTTTCCAAAACTGTTTAAAGACCAAACAAATGCAAATTAATAAGTTACTCAAGATAGTATGCGGTCCCTTACCCAAAATTAGTTTTTTTATTTAACAATGACTTTAAATTGCGGGAGTGTTAGAAAAGTTTCAAACGTGATTTCATGGTGTCCTCGACAAACCAGACTCACATCCTACAATAGGTCACTTGAAAAGCCTTTTTTTCGTGTAACACCGTGTAATCCTTCCGTTCGAAAACTTGCAACTTCGTGTATTTTTTAATTGTTTCTTTCTAATCCGTTTCAATTATGTCATACAAGCTATGAAAACAAAGGAGATGAAGAACAAAATATTCAAACCCCTGGTCATAAAATGTCAAACGGAGATTTTTCAATACACTAACATGTCCCCAAAGCTCATTTTCACAACACCGCAGCTAAGCTTCAAAGCAGGGTTGCTTTCACTCACTTGCAATAAAAAATTGTTTTTCGGAAATATGAAATCATTAGATGTTATAATGGTTATATACAGTGCGTCATAATCAGCGATTTCACGATTCGTGAGCGCTCACGAATCATAAGATCGCTGACTGTGACGCTCTGAAAGAGAAATTGACAGGTTTTATGTGTCAAACAAATACTCCGAGACCTCTTCATGTAACTTACAAGTAATAATAACCAGTATAACATTGATTGATTTCAAAATTCAAAAAAACAATTTTTTACATCAAGTGAGTGGAAGCAACCCTGCTTCAAAGCAACATACCGGTCGGTTACTTTAGAAAGGGGTACCAAAAAACGCAAAACCTCATCGCTCCGTGAGTACAACTTCTTAACTCGATTCCATTTTACAGACAGTCTGTATCCCATTGCCTTAGCAGCACAAGCATCGTCATCGGAACAAAAGAATCCCACATTCTCTCGAAATGTGAGATTTATGCAAAATGCATCGGTATCTCTATCTATCGTTTGAACAGGATACAATTGCATGCACTTGCATACATGAATAAATGTTCCAGCATGAACACAAACCCAGACACACACACACACACACACTGCAGTAGTACACAGCACATGACTCGATGTCACTTGATGTATAAAGTATGAAAATCAACACTGATCCGAAAAGTCTCCGACGAGAGGATACAAAACGCTTTCAAAGGGAGGATGCAGCGTGGGGCACTTATGGTGTATGCACCCAGTTACCGAGCCATTCAGGGAGACAATACGAAGTTCAAATAGAATCATAAATTTTATGATGTCGAGATGTTTATTGTTTGGGAGTTTATTTGTTTCGATGCTAGGGCGTTTGATACTCCCCGACATGAGCGTTCTCGCACTGCATAACGACTATGAGCTGTTGGGAGTCGTGTTTGACAATAAAAGTTTTATACACTATACACTGCAATATTTTTTTCTTCTCTCCAATGCTTTCATCGGAATGCACCAGCGTGCGATTCCACTGGGTGACAACGACGACAACGACGACGACGATGGCGATGGTTTTCGCTTGTTCCAAAAAATCACCATCAACCCAACCCCCTTCGTTAAGTGACTCACAAAATGTCTCAGGAGAATCTTTTTTTATTTTTCGTTCCTCCCGCAGGCAGCAAGACAGCGATAACGAGCAGCTCGATTCTCCCGGGAGAGTGCGGAGACATGTGTGTCAAAAACGAACATGGCTCACATTCGCATATGTACGTTCGAAATGTATGCATTATGCCCCTTTGGTGTGGAGGTATAATAGACATACACGTGCCCTGAACAAGTCTTGCGAGGAAATGAAGAATCAATTTGAAGTTTGTGGGCGGGGTATGAATTAAATTCAAATTGAAATTGTTTGCGGTGTAGTATTGCAGATTCCGCCCCTCACTAGACTCCTGCGCTTAAAATAAGTACACACACTGAAAATAAAATTTAGTTTATATAACGAAAACGTTCGTTCGTTCCACGAATCCATTCATTGTTTTCTGCAACGAAATAGATTCGTTCATAATACGAAGCTAGTTTTGTTTAAATTGCCACCCTCGTTGATAGCGAGTTTAATAGCACTAAACTTTATATTTTAGGAAAACTAAAACTTATTCTTCTCTGCAAATTTATTTGAATCAACATTGTAATTAATTGATTGATTAATAATTTACACCGACACTTGCTTCCAGCGTTATTGTATGATGTATGATAATTGTCCACCACTCATTGTAGCACGGAAACTAAGTCCGATAGCAGTGGGCGCTCCTCACTGTTTGATTTGATCAAGCTTAATAACCTCTGATTGTCCTCAAAATGTCACTGTATGAAGGGCCAAAAACGGGTTTGGTGGATCCATAGGTAAATTCACCTATACGACTCCACAAAATGGTAGAGCATCACCTTCCAGCCACATGATCATACAATTGGTCAAAAAACGAGCCGTCCGACAGAAGGATACCCAATGAGTGTGGAGAAGAGCCACAGGGAGTTGACAATTTCACTCTCCCCATCCAAATCGCTTCAATCGGGTACCCTGATGGTCCCACCCAATCCCAGCATTTGTTTGTATAAATAAGCAATAATAAAAATTAAAAATTTACACGATCTCACCAACTTTCGCTGTTTCTTTACCCTTCTGTCCAATTTTCGTGCCAATTTGTGAACTCGTTGTCCTTCTATGCATCACTGCTAGTCGCTACTAGTCTGCCGAAAATCTCCCTTGTTATTTCTGATGTGTTCTACGATATTTCGACGTCCATTATCTTTGTACGATGATCTTGAGTTCCTAGTTGCGTCTTATTAAACCGTAACAGCAATGCAGAAAATGGACGTGCTCGGGGTATTTTCTTACCGAGCATCACTCCATTGTCCTATCGCATGAGCTCTATTTTGCAGCTCTTCTTTCACTTTTACTTCGTTGACGCCATGGTACCGGAAAAGATACAGATATACAGGGTGCTCGGTTCCTTAGTGCAAATAGTTTAAGGGGAGGTTTACTTGGATTTGGCTGAAAAACAGTTGAACATTGGAATTTTTTTTCAGGAGAATGAAAAGACATACGAACTTCCGGTTTCGATAATTATATTTGTCCACTATTCCTGAATACTTGGAAATTTTTTGAAGGTAAAAAAACAAAATGGCGGCTCGCGTGGAGGAGTGTCAGTCAGGTTTTGCTGCAGAACTTCGAGTGCACACCCTCTGGTGGTGAACTGAAATGAAATTTTTTTATTGTGGTTAAAGTTAGGCTTATACCTAACTAGAACGAAATCCGACAAAAATTGACCAAATTATGGACATTTGAAAATTTAGTGCTTTTTTTACCCCTTTTTTTCTCACTTTGACCTTGCTTAAAAAATAGTAACTAACATTTTTTTTTCATACCTACGCCATACAAAAAATAGTATCCTTCAAAGCGCAATTTTCCGATTGTAAATCGGATCATTTGTTCAAGCCCTATGCTCTAAGTTGTTATAAAAAATATGGTTTCGAGAAAAACGCGTTTAAAGTTTTTGTTGCGTCCCTCAGCGCGCATGACAAAGGTTCACTCAAAGCGCCATAACTCGCTAAATATGTTTCGGATCGTAAAATCCTTTTGGCCACATATTCTACACACTTGTAGCTTTCATTTTATGCAAAAAAAATCATTTTTTTTTTTTTTTAAATCCAAGTAAACCTCCCCTTAAGGGGCGATAGAAGATCATACTTGAAGTATAAATTGTTCTACGCATATGATCGAATCTCAAAGATTACTGAGTTATTGAACTTTTCCCGTTTTGGTCTATGCTTGCCATAAATTGGCTCTAACTCAAAAACTATGTCATTTAGCACAAAACTCTTGCTTCCATTGGACAGCTTGGTTTTCTACTTATTAGTGTCATTTCTGCTTTATAGAAGCTGCATTTAGACACAATTTAGGGATAAACGAGTCGAAAACTTGTGTTTTCCTACGGGTTTTCCCTTATTATTTAAAAAAATACGTAATAAAGTGTATTGTTTTGTCAAACCAAAAGATGTCTCTCAATGCGTTCTACAACTCTCTCTTTGCCACCAATTTTCTATCTTGTTTATTTTTGTCGCAATTTCGTACTAAACACATCATGTTGGGTCGTTAATTAACGGTTGCGTAAAACACGAATTCAACCCCACCGTGCGTTGCTGTTGACGTCTGTTTGCAGCGCGCATAGCACACTTGATCGCCACATGGAGCAACGGTATGAAAAGTGTGACAAGAAAAACAGTGCTGCAGACAGTTCAATTGAACGCATGATGAAAATTGAAAATGTTCTGTTTTTTTTTCTCGATACCAATGTAGATCAGTTCATTGAACTAATTGGGTAAAAAGCGAACACGAAATTATTGCGACACATTCAACAGGGCATAACTTTTTTACCATTGGGTAAAAATCAACCAAATTTTGCACACATTCTCATTGATGTGTATTGTGTACATGCTGTCAAACTCGAAGTCGTGTTTTTCGAATCAACGAAAATGGAGGTGAACCAACGCGAGTTGAGAGAACAAATTCTTTCCAAACACCTGGAATTTCCTGACCTGTCGCACCGGCAGTTGGGAAAAATGTTGAACATTCACCATTCAACCGTCTCCAGAGTGTTGAAGCGGTTCCAGGAGCGGTTGACGTTGGAAAACCGGGACCGGAGAACAAAAAGACGGAGGGAAAGGTGAAGCGGATGATTAAAGCAAATCCCAACGTCTCAAGCCGTGATTTGGCTAAAAAGATCGGCATGTCGCAGAGCTACGTCCAGAATGCAAAGAAGAGATCTGGACTACATACATACAAGGTACAGAACTTGCCAAACCGCGATGAGCGGCAACAATCGACGGCTAAAACTCGGGCACGGAAGCTCTACGAGAAGATGCTGACAAAATATGGCTGCTGTGTGATGGACGACGAAACGTATATAAAAGCCGATTTTAAGCAAATTCCGGGGTTGGAGTTTTTCACCGGCAAGAGCAAGTTCGATGTGGACGACAAATTTAAGAAGAAGAAAATGGCAGGCCATCTGCTCTTGCGGACTGAGGAGTGAGCCTTTCGTGACAAAGGGCACAGTAAATAACGAGATCTACAAATCTGAGTGCCTCGAGAAGCGCCTTTTGCCGTTCTTGCAGCAGCACGACGAAGTTCCGCTATTTTGGCCAGATTTGGCATCATGCCACTATTCTAAAAGTGTCCTGGAGTGGTATGAGGCCAATTCTGTCCATTTTGTTCCAAAGGACATGAATCCGCCAAACTGTCCGGAGCTGCGCCCGGTGGAGCAGTACTGGGCAATAATGAAACGGGAACTTCGGAAGAGCAAGAAGACAGTCAAAGACGAGAAGGACATGTTAAGAAAATGGAAAAAAAAACTGAGAAACTGGTACCGGATGACACTGTAAAGACTTTGATGGAGGGCATCAAGCGAAAATGCGTTCAATTTTACACTCAAGGCTCCATCGTTTAACTTTTCTTTTGATTTTTGAAGTAAATATATGTATAAAACTACCCTAAAATTTTGGTTTGATTCTAAACATTATAAGAAAATTGTCATGACATTTTCGGTGTCGCAATAATTTCGTGTTCGCCCTTTAAATACCCAATCAGTTCAATGAACTGATTTACATTGGTATCGAGAAAAAATGATTAATCAAATTGAAACACTGATCTTCGTTTTTTTTTCATAAATTTATTTCAATAGTTGCTCTGTGTGTCCTTCATTTTCTTGGATGCAGTACCTGAAAAAGTTCAATAACTCAGTAATCTTTGAGATTTGATCATATCGGTAGAAAATTTTTTTTACTTAAAATATGATCTTATATCGCCCTTAATTTATTTGCACTAAGGAACCGAGCACCCTGTATATACATTATTAGAAATGATATGATATAATAACAACGGGAACGCCGTTTAGAATGGTACAAACAAATGTTAAATGAGGTAACATTAAAATTTAACACGATTTAAAGTATTTCAATGCAACATAACATCTGTTCACTGACGATTAACACAGTTTTCAATATGTTATCTTATCTTATTTCTGGAAGAATTTACTTGTGTTTTTTACCATTAGTATCAATGCTCCGTCATATCGTATCTTCAAGTGATCTTCGCAAGTGCCACATTTCGTTCAGGTTCTTTGGAACTAGATGTGATGAAATATGAAACGCACATTTTAAAGTGAATTGCGCATAACAATGTTCATCACTTACTCACACATGAAATCTGCCTCGACCAACCTGGCAGAATGTGCCCTAACCCTCACTGAACCAAAGGGCCATTTGCTTCCAGCGTCAAGCACCTAAACTAAGAACTGACGGCGTGTGTGAGGAAACCATGTGTCAATATTGGCCGATTGAATAAATAATAAACTTCTCATTCATTGCACCACGAAACAATATTCTGCCTCTGTGCACTAAATAGCTATCTTTGATTAGTATTGCCGTTATTATTTTGATCGATAATTATCAAAACACCTTCCACTGCTGATGTTGCCTAAATTTGCTTGTAGTTCGGGTAAATGCCGACTGTGCCGCGGCTGGGCAATCGTCTGACTGTTCGATACCAAGCGACATGGTCGGACTCTTCTTGGAACGTAAGGCCGATTTGCTCAGAAGATTTTTACGATATTCCAAATTAGCAAGGTTCTCATCACCTTCCGGTACGTTATCGTAGTAGGAGCCTCGTTTGCTGATCGGTGGCGGAACGGACGATACTTGGCGAGGCTCGGGTTGAACGTTGCTCAAGGTGGCTTGCATTTCGTGGAGCATGGAGCTCGTTCAGCTCTCGATTGAGCGTAAGTGTTGCTGAACGTTTGATATTTCTAGGCATCGAATTGAAAACATTTATTCTTTAATAATAAAATGAATTTTGTGAAGCAAAAGTCAAGAAATGTGGTGTTCTTATTTCAGCCACGTTTCTAGTATTATATCTATGAAAGTCACTTCCTCTTTCACTTCGATCACACAAATATCGAGGCAGCAAACCGTTAACTACTATAAAAATGAACACCATAGTCAAATATACAATTCTTTGCTTCACCGACAACCATTGTAAGGCATCTAGCATCAAAGTTGAGGAAGTGAATCTATTACATCTCAAAATCAATGTGTTGCATTGGTCAGAAATAAAATGGAAGGGCAAAAGTCTAGATGAGGAGAGATGATTGATTTGTATAGCTGTATTTTACTGGCAATAGTTAAATCGTTTTTCAGGCGACATACCCGCATAAACGCGAACCATAAATTGACCTTACCGATAATGGTTATAAATTGTTTATAATCCCTCCTTAACTTTAACTGAAATGGTTTTGGAACCTTACATGAACGTTTGTGTGATAAAGTTTTAACCTTATGTATTATGGTTTTTTAGGAAGCGGACCTTACAAATAATGGGTTGTTAAGAACCATTACCATTTCAAATTCTTGTTTTCTCCATACATTTCGGAAAGGGAACTATATTAGAACGTTTTAACTTATGGTTTGAGAACATTAATGGTTATGGTTATGGTAGTCAGTAAGGCCCATGAATGGTTTTGTAACATCGATCAACTTTATGTGGAATATATCGCGAATTGGTTGCCTGTAAATTAATAATTATCAGTTCGCGATATATTCCACGTAAAGTTGAGCGATAATACAAAACGATTAATGGACCTTACTGACTACCATAACCATAATCATTAATGTTCTCAAACCATAAGTAAAAACGTTCTAATATAGTTCTCTTTCCGAAAATGTATGGAGAAAACAAGAATTTGGAATGGTAATGGTTCTAAACAACCCATTATTTGTAAGGTCCGCTTCCTAAAAACCATAATACATAAGGTTAAAACTTTATCACACAAACGTTCATGTAAGGTTCCAAAACCATTTCAGTTACAGTTTAGGAGGGATTATAAACAATTTATAACCATTATCGGTAAGGTCAAGTGATGGTTTGCGTTTATGTGGGTAGAATTCCATACTTCTTGGCAATTTTCTTGATGACATTGTCAATGTGATGATGTCACGCACCGAACGTCCCCGTTCAGTACCGTTATTTTGAAGGGAGCTGATATCACAGGTTGACTAACTTATCTTCAGACGAGTTGTGCCAATTTTTTCGCCGATTTCTGTTTTGATTGGTTCTACCTTGTACTAGAGCTCATAGTTGATGGATTTGATCGCTTTAGATTCCATGTTTTCTTCTCCCTCGGTTGTGCTAGCCGTTGCAGAATCTGAAGTTATTCGAAGTGCGATTCCATTGGTTCGGCGGATCTGGTTGCGGTTTTTGTTGTGGCGCTGAGCTGGACCGGGAGTTTAAGGAAGAGCGATGCCTTCCAGGTCTTCTGCTTCGACGACGGGCGGTGTCTGTGGGATTGGTGCCGGAGATGACTTAGAGAGTGGTGAAGGCTGAGGGGTAGCTACGGGTTTTGGTTCTGTTTCTTCTATTCTGAGTTCCTCTATTCGCGACATGTTTTCCTCTGGTTCGGCGATGTTGACGTCGCTTGTTGGTGTTGGTTCAGCAGACTTTATGCTGCCATCAACTTTTGATAGATCTTGTTCTTGTCTATCAGTTTTGGGCGGCGTTCACCTTTTCAACAATTTATTATTTTCTTTCAACAATTTATTATTTTCTTTCAACTATTACAAGCTCCGTCAGGTGGTTGTTGTTACTATCGTTGGTCAAGGCCAGGTTTTCGAATTGATTGGGTTCTATTGTGGTCGTTCGGTTCACCTCATCTTCAGAAGTAGTACGTACAAATGATTCAATTTCAGCCGTTAGATTGGTGAGATTTTTCACATCTTCAGCATCTTCTGGTGATCCGTCAATCTTCGCGTGACAAGGACGGTATTCGTTAAATCAACGGAAGTGTTTGCCTGGAAATTATGAATTCCAAAATGAACAATCTTTTTAAAATCAACAATAAGCAATTCCCGCATAACATTTGAAAAGGGCCTATCAGCATTTGTAAACAAAACTTAAAAGGCCCTTTCGCACGAACCGAAGTACGTCCACCCAAACTCAAGACCAACAATTGAAAAGGCCTCAACTCAATTTTATAAACAAACCTTGTAAAGCCATTTTCTCACGAAGTGAAGTCCGCCAAGGTGAACCAAAAGAATGAACAGGTAGGATAAATTCTCCCCTACCCGATTTTTTTTTTAGGTTTGCGAATGTAGGTTTACTTATTTATTTGTTTATTTATTTTATATAATTCCATCTGGATTCAAGTCTAAATGAAATATGGGATGGTGAAAATCCTTTTTGAGACAGCACATTTTAAATGAAATAAAAATATATAAATTATAAATAAAACATAAATAAGTTCTTAAAGTGAACCAATCAATAAAACAATTTTTAGTTGGCAACTGCAAACAGGTCACTCGTCAGATGGCAGGAACCAATATCGTGTAGATGATTACGAATCATGAAATAAAAAAAACAGCAGGTAGCACATTCATTTTCCTAGTTAATTATTGGACAGATACTCACCAATTGCATTATTGTTCTATTCAATATCGTTGATTATTATTACGTTGGCGTTGCAGAGTGGTGGCAGAACTATTGAAGTCAAATCTGCTGGCGATTTCGTTAAACCGAAGTATCATGAATCTGATTGGATCATGTTGTCCATAACGAGTGTGACGGTTAGCTAAATGCAAGAAATTGCGTCGTCTCAAAGGTCGTTCTGGAACATATTTATTCAATTCAGTGAGAATATCTGGGGCGTCAATATCGTTGGTTAACATCTTAACCACGAATACAGCTTGCAAAGTCGATATTCTTTGTTCCAGAGTATCAATTCCCAGCAGCATACAGCGATGTTCATATGGAGGAAGATTCAGTGCGTCGTGCCAGGGTAAGTGTCGGAGGGCTAAGCGCACAAACTTTTTCTGTACAGCCTCGAAGCGTTCGATCCATTTTCTATTGTATGGCCACCATACTACTACGGCAGATTCCAAAATAGAGCGTACTAGGGCACAGTAGAGGAACTTCAGGCAGAGAGGATCGCGAAATCCATCAGCAAGCTTAAAGATGAACCCGAGCTGCTTGTTAGTTTTTGCTAACACATCTTCACAATGCGGTCGGAAAGGGAGTTCACGGTCCAACATCACCAAGATCCCTCACCTGATCCATGCGTTCGAGAGTTTGCCCAGATAGCTTGTAGTTGAAATATAACGGTTAACGCTTTCTACTAAATGAGATCTTGTTGCATTTGGCTATACACAAATCAAGATGATTACGCTTGCTCCACTCCTCAAACATATCCAATAACCGTTGCAGCTCCAAGCAGTCTTCAATACATGTGATTACCATAAATATCTTAACGTCATCTGCATAGAATATTCGCTGTCCGCGTGGCAGAACAAATGAAACATCATTTATGAATAACGAGAAGAGAAGCGGGCCTAGATTACTTCCTTGCGGTACGCCGGAAGAAATGAAAAAAAAATCATATGAATATGAAGAGCCGATCCTTACTTTCACAGACCTTCCAGTCAGGTACGATCTAAACCAGTTTACTAGGTCGGAGGAAAGTCCAAATTGCTCAAGTTTTCCAAGTAGGATATCATGGTTCACTCGATCGAATGCAGCTTTGAAATCTGTGTACACGGCATCTACTTGCGTACCAGCGTCCATCGAGCGTATGCAGAGTAAAGTAAACTGTGTCAGATTTGCAGTGACGGTTTGTTTCGGGAAGAATCCATGCTGAGAACAGGATATGTAGTTCTTGCTAGGCTCAAAGATAATATATTTAAAGATAATCTCAAAAAGTTTAGAGCAGGCACTGAACGAAGTAATTCCCCGGAAGTTGGCAACATAACATTTGTCCCCCTTTCTGTGAATCGGAGACAGGAATAAAGTTTTCGATCCAGCTGGAAATGTTTTCTTTTGAAACGAGAGGTTGAATAGTTTTACTAATGGTTTCAGCAGAGCACTTGAACATTTTTTCAGTACGGTTGAAGGAATCCCATCAGGACCAGGTGATACCGAATTTTTTTAACTTACGTGGAGCATTTTGGACGTGCTCCTCGGTGATTTGAAAAATTCTAAGTTCAAAGCTGTGCGACGGAGTATTACTGAGGGCAGCGTCGATCTGCGTTTGTGTGGTCAATGTATTTGAGAAGACATTCTTGAAGTGATCGGCAAATAGCTCACATTTACTAGACGCAGAACGCTCATCAAAGTACATGGATGTAGGTAATCCATCGTGCTTACGTTTAGTACGAACAAACGACCATAAATTTTTCGGATGCACACGCAAGTTCCTTTGCGTTCGATCAATGTACCGAGCATACAGAATACGATTGTACCGAGCATACTTGTTACTAGCAAGCTCAAAGCGATGCTTCAACTGTTGAGACCTATTGCGGCTATACTTCCGAAGTGCAGATCGTCTACAGCGCTTCAATTGGCGAAGGCTGGAGTTTGACCAAGGCGGCTTTAATAAAGGACGTTGAAGAGGCACGTTAGCTTCGACGACGTGACGTATTTCCGTGTTGAAAACACCAACGATTTCATCCAGATCCAGCTCAGAATCCAGGAATTGCCAATCGATCGAGGACAGTGCATCGTTTAGCAGGTCGTAGTCTACCCGACGAAAATCAAACTGGTTAGAATTATAAAGTGGCTCGTGAATACGGTGACATCAATAGCAGGGTGTGCGGTGTCAGTATCAACGAGTGATTCGGCTGCGTTGGAAACACAACAGCTTTGTAACCCAGTATCATTAACGAGTACCAAATCGAGAATCCGTGAAGTGGAATTTACA